CTTTCACAAGTAGTGGGTCTGGTTACATAGAATTATTTACAATTATTGTATTCCATTCCCGCACAGTTTAATATGTTAAACTTTATGATTAGGAAGAACAGAAAATAAAGAAGCATCAAAATATAAATGATCAAAATATAATGAACCTTCAAGCTAGCTCTCTAATTTTCTTTCATTTTTTTCTTTCTTGAGCAAACCACTAAATTTGATCACTTTCTCTTCTAATTATCTCGTATTAATAATCATGACCATTGATCTTGGAGATTAATAACCATGACCAACAAAGTAAAAACTATGAGAAAAAAAAATAATTGAGGGCTTCTTCAACCCTTGGTATTGTGGAAGCAGAGAATTTGGGATTTCTGCAATTACTAGTGTCAATTATATCATAAAATATATGCATTACAATAATAAATGTAAACTCTAAGATAATAAATATAAACAATAAAACGAGAACTTGCAAAATTAATGTTACCAATATACAATGGTCAAAGAAAATGATTGGATTAAAGAAGTGAAAATTGCTACTAATTAGTAGTAATACTTCTTTTCAAGAATCAGGACTTAAATGCATGCTAATTTTTGTACAAAATTATCTACTTATTGTTAGGGTGGTAATCTAAATCTAACCACTGGTGAAAACCATCATCTTTAAACCCAAGATCTGTATGACGATTATTAAGAAATACATTAACTGTAAAATAGCGGAAGCGTACCTGAATCCATATTAATAAACTTGATACTTGAATCCCTAGAGATTTGGGGTGGCCTTCTAGGTCAACAGGTATTCACCGATCCTTTGAGAGAGGCCTTTAGTTTCTCTCTGGTATCTTTCCTGACGATGGGATATCAGGGAAGGGGTATTTTGTGGTATTAGGAAATACGACAACTAAATCGATACCTGTGACCTGGGGACCATAACCCTATTTATAGGTAACATTCCTGTTACCTTTTAGAGGCCTATTTCAGCCCATCATTGAAATAGGAGCCCATAAGTTTCTACACATTAAAAGGCCCACATCCTATTAGATACATTAAATCCAAACTATATTTGATCACTTTAATTGGGTTAAACCTTAATTGACAGTTTGCAATACATAATTATTCACATATAAGTCCAATGTTGGATTAAGGATCCAACAATCTCCCACTTGGACTATATGTGTAACCTTATAATTATGTTTTGCAATTAACCGTATGAGTTTAACTTTACTGTCATTATCACAATGTATCTGTAACCAATTCGGTCCATCAATTACACCAATATAGGATCAAAGCGGCCTTTGTTACAATTTCGTAACTCGACCCATCAATGGTCATATATATCAATGCAATTGAATGACATGAATTATGATGTGGATGTGTAGCATGAAAATTTCATGTAATGTGATCAAAACATGCCTATTTCCAACTGGTCCACCTTAAATTTTATGAGATCAAACCATACCAAAATTATAGTACAAATAAATCCAAACTTTATTTATGCATAAAATATCCTTAAATCCTTAATAACTGAAAAATATCATAAGAGCATTTAAAATAACAAACTCCCACTAAAACTATACATCATTTAATACGACACCCATATGAGCAGTATGCTCATGAAACATTTTGGGTGGCAATCCCTTAGTAAGCGGATCCGCAACCATGGAGTTTGTCCCGATGTGCTCTATTGATAACTGTCCATTCTGCACTCTTTTTTTAACAGTCAGGAACTTGATATCTATATGTTTAGATTTGGTCGATCTCCTATTGTTATTGGAATATAAGACTGCTGACTTATTGTCACAGAATAATTTGAGTGGTCTTTCAATGCCATCCACTACACGTAATCCTGTGACGAAATTTCGCAGCCAAATTCCCTGGTTGGATGCCTCATAACAAGCTATAAACTCTGTAGTCATAGTGGAAGATGCTATGAGGGACTGTTTAGCACTGTTCCAGGATATGGCACCTCCAGCCAACAAGTAGACATAGTCTGACGTTGACTTCATAGTATCTTTGCATCCAGCATAATCGGAATCAGTATACCCAATGATCTCTAACTCATCTGACTTCCGATACGTGAGCATGTAATCTTTTGTTTTCTGTAGATATCGTAAGACCCGTTTGGTTGCTTTCCAATGATCTAATCCAGGATTACTCAAATATCTACCCAACATCCCAGTAATGTACGCAATATCCGGACGCGTACATACTTGAGCATACATTAGACTCCCTACTGCTGAGGCATAAGGAATCTTTTGCATCTTTCTTTCCTCAAAAGCATTCTTGGGACACTGTTCAAGACTAAATTTATCTCCTTTAGTCACAGGGGTGTCACCTGATTTACAATTTTACATGCCATATCTCTTAAGAACCTTTTCGATATAACCCTTTTGTGATAGTCCTAAAATTCTCCGAGATCGATCCCGGTGTATTTGGATATCTAACACAAAAGATGCATCACCAAGATCTTTCATCTCAAAATTTTTGGTTAGAAATTTCTTGGTTTCATGCAATAGACCAATATCATTGCTGGCAAGCAAAATATCATCAACATACAATACCAGAAAAATATACTTGCTCCCACAGAACTTATGGTATATACAATCATCCACTAAATTCATCTTAAAACCAAATGAGATGATTACTTGATGGAATTTGAAATATCATTGTCGAGACGCTTGTTTGAGCCCATAGATGGATTTTTTAAATTTACAAACCATATTCTTTGGATCTCCTGATACAAAGTTTTCTGGTTGCACCATATAAATTGTCTCATCAATGTTACCATTGAGAAACGCTGTCTTTACATCCATCTGATGTAACTCAAGATCGAAATGTGCCACTAATGCCATGATAATTCTAAAAGAATCCTTTGAAGAGACTGGAGAGAAGGTTTCTTTATAATCGATACCTTCCTTTTGTGTAAATCCCTTAGCGACAAGACGAGTTTTGAATCTTTCCACATTGCCTTTCAAATCCCTTTTGATTTTAAATATCCATTTACAACCAATGGGTTTCGCACCTTCGGGTAATGGGACAAGATCCCAAACATCATTGCCCTTCATGAATTTAATCTCCTCATTCATAGCATCGATCCACTTTTGAGAATTTGAACTTTCCATGGCTTGACGGAAGTTGATTGGATCATCTTCCATCAATCCAGAGTCATCCTCATGTTCTTGGAGAAAAACAATGTAATCATTTGGCACTGCACTTCTCCTTTCTCTAGTGGATCTTCTTAATGGCACTGGTTCTTGAAGAGAAAGAGTTTGTTCTTGTATAACAGTTTGCTCTTCGACATTGTCTTGATTTGTCATGTCATGATCAAGTTCAGGAATAGGGTCCTGAGTAAGAGCAATGACACCTGTGGGAATATTAATATATTTCTCTTTAAAGACAATGTCTCTTACTGTATTTTCTCCCCTAAACTCGACATCCTCAAAGAACCGAGCATTTCCTGTCTCAAAAATTGACTTAGTTGTGGGATCATAAAACTTGTAACCTCTGGATCTTTCAGAGTATCCAATAAAATAATAACTAATCGTTTTTGAGTCCATTTTCTTTTCATTTGGCCTGTAAGGCCTTGTCTCAGCTGGACACCCCCAAAAATGCAGATGCTTTAAACTGGGCTTTTTCCCTATCCAAAACTCATAAGGGGTTTTGATAGTTGTTTTAGTTGGAACCCTATTGAGTATATATGCTGCAGTCTTAAGTGCTTCACCCCAGAGTGACTCTGGTAAAGTAGAATGACATATCATACTCCTTACTATGTCTTTAAGCGTTCTATTTCGTCTTTCAGCTACACCATTCATAGTGGGTGAACCCGGCATAGTGTATTGTGGGACGATACCGCATTCCTCTAGGTATTTAGTAAATGGTCCTGAACGTTGTTCACCTGAACCGTCATATTTGCCATAGTACTCACCACCACGGTCAGATCTGACGCTTTTAATTCTTTGTTGAGTTGATTCTCAACTTCAGCCTTAAAACTTTTGAGCACGTCCAGTGACTGTGATTTTTCAGAAATGAGATATATGTAGCCATATCTTGAAAAATCGTCTATGAACGTTATAAAATATTGTTGACCATTCCAAGCAGATGTAGGAAATGATCCACAAATATCTGTATGTATAAGTTCTAAGACGTCTAAGAACCTATTGGCTTCAAATCTCCTTTCATTGGTTTGTTTCCCCTTTATACAGTTAATACAATCATTAAAATTTGTAAAACTCAAAGGGTCGAGAATTTCATTTGACACAAGCCTTTCCATTCTCCGTTTGGAGATATGTCCCAATCTCTTGTGCCATAATGCAGCTGAATTCTCATTAACTAATTTTCTTTTAACTCCTCTAGTACTCAAATGCAGAGATTCATTAAATGAGGCAATCGTATCAATTAAATATAGATTATCGTAATGCATTAAAGAACCAGAACCAGAACCAACCAATTTTGAATCATGAAACAATTCAAAATTTTCATTTCCAAATGAACAAAAAAAAACCAAATTTGTCCAAAGCAGAAATAGAAATTAAATTCCGTCTAAAAGACGGTACAACAAATGTCTCATTGAGATCCAAATAAAATTCGGTCTTTAACAATAATCTAAAAACTCCAATTGCCTCAACTTGAACTGTTTTGCCATCGCCCACGTAGATATATCTTTCATTATCATTAGGCTTTCGGCAATTCAGGCAACCCTGCATAGACGCACTGATGTGAGTTGTTGCACCAGAATCTAACCACCATGTGTGTCTAGGTACCAAAGTTAAATTAACCTCAGAACAAACCAAATTAAGAAGCATACCTTTCTTAGCACGCCAAGCGTGATAGTTGGTGCAATGCTTCTTTTGATGCCCTTCAGCCCCACAGAAGAAACAACTCTTCTTTCCCTGATCATTTGATTTCTTTTGTTGTTTCTTTTGTGGCGCTGTACCTGCAGCTCCTTTTTCCTTCTTTCTTTTAAGTCCCTTACTTTTATTATTAGTGGTTGACACCAGATGGGCACTTTCTGTCTACTCTTGCTTCAACCTTTCCTCTTCCTCTACACAGTGTGAGATGAGTTCATTTAGAGACCAAGTCTCCTTTTGACAATTGTAACTCACCTTAAACTGGCTAAATTGTGTAGGAAGAGATATTAGAATCAAATGCACTAATAACTCTTCAGAGAGTTTCAACTTAAGTGCATTCAATTTCGAAGTAAGATGAGACATCTCCATGATGTACTCTCTGATATTGCCTTTACCACTATATTTCATTGAAACTAGGCATGTCAAGAGCGTACTAACTTCAGTCTTTTCGTTCTGGACAAACCTTTTTTCAATGTCCTGAATGAACTCTTTAGCGGTTACAGTCGTTTCTGACATTGTTCCCCTGAATGCTTCTGGAACGGCCTTTTTAATGATCATCAGACACAAGCGATTTGATCTCTCCCACCTCTCATTATTTCTCTTTTCATCAGAGGTACTCTGATCTGTAAGAGGTGGGGAAGAATCATTCCTTAACGCAAGGTCGAGATCCATTACTCCAAGTACTATCAAGAGGTTTTCTTTCCAAGACTTGAAGTTTGTGTCATTCAACATTGAAATGTTATTGATGTTGGCAGTAATATTTGTAAGATCATTTGCAACTGAACAGAAAACATAATATAATTAAAACAATGCTCACATGAACCAAATAATAATAAATTTAAATAATGGTAACCCCATCCCAAAATATCGATATTCCATTAATATTTTATCTTTGGACAAAATATTAACTTCTAAGTGATAGCTTGGTGCAGTAATAAACACTGACAATAATCACATGTCAAAAATAAATTTTCCTTTGGGCCAATTTATAATCACATGTAAAATCCAAATGTGAAATCCAAATAATTATCACGTATTTATTACCACAAGTGCACATGTAATTTCACTAAATATTGACCTTCTTTTGGGCCGATCAATATTTATAAAATTACTAGTGCCCAACTAATTATATGTTAAAATAAATTAATTTCCACAATAGAGGTCACTTTGGTGACATATTATTTCAATTAATTTATTCCAAAATATATATAATCATACCAATATTCAAATTAAACAAAAATTTTAATCAAAGTCAACTTTGGTCAACTTTGGTCAAAACATGGTCAAATCAATCAAATTAAATCATGACTTATTGGACCAAAGGTCCATATCCATAATTTGACCCAAAATTAACATTTAAGCCCAAATTTTTTTTTTAAATCCATAAGTACTTTATATTAAAAAAAAAACTACATATTTAATGGGTCACACATATGGATTTTATAGGGCTTAAATGTCCTATTTAACTTTATTAGGGTTTACTTAAATTAAAGAAAACCCTAATTTTCTTAACATACAAATATATGTGTATTGGTTCTTAAACAGAAGACAAATCAAAGAAAAATGAAGTTTTAACCGAATCAACCGATAAACATGCAAATTGAAGTCCAGATCTTCGTATAAGGTTTTGTCTCAAATTTGGTTATACATAAAAATTTGACTAATCAATGCACCACAGTACAACCAACAAAAGCCTAGATACGGCGGAATCTACATAAATACAAACTTGATTCAATGGTCAAAACACAAAACAATGAATCATCAGTCAAACCGTGAGTTGGCATCATAACAAAGTATATAGATGTCTAATAATTCATGGGGCCTACTGGATTGAATGTTGACTCAATACATGGATCGGCCAACTACGTATCTTAATTCAATACTCATGAATTAATTATGCTTGACTACGGTAGGGACCACATATTCATATGTAATACAAAAAACCAGTGAATCATGAAATCCGAAGCATCAAACCAAAACATAAAGCCGCACCGTTACAAAATCATGACATGAACAAGAAACCAATTAGTGAACAGTTGGCCATCACCAAGAAGTTTATTGTTTAGCTGACAACCATATAACCGAAACCCAATTCGTGAAACATAAATATATATATATACAAATTACTGAATCCAAAGTATTTCTCAATAATCAACCATATGGGCTTTGATACCACTTGTTAGGGTGGTAATCTAAATCTAACCACTGGTGAAAACCATCACCTTTAAACCCAAGATCTGTATGGCGATTATTAAGAAATACATTAACTGTAAAATAGCGGAAGCGTACCTGAATCCATATTGATAAACTTGATACTTGAATCCCTAGAGATTTGGGGTGACCTTCCAGGTCAACAGGTATTCACCGATCCTTTGAGAGAGGCCTTTAGTTTCTCTCTGGTATCTTTCCTGACGATGGGATATCAGGGAAGGGGTATTTTGTGGTATTAGGAAATACGACAACTAAAACGATACCTGTGACCTGGGGACCATAACCCTATTTATAGGTAACATTCCTGCTACCTTTTGGAGCCCTATTTCAGCCCATCATTGAAATAGGAGCTCATAAGTTTCTACACATTAAAGGGCCCACATCCTATTAGATACATTAAACCCAAACTATATTTGATCACTTTAATTGGGTTAAACCTTAATTGACAGTTTGCAATACATAATTATTCACATATAAGTCCAATGTTGGATTAAGGATCCAACACTTATTTCATAAATATATTTTTCAATCACTTTTTTATTTCATATATATCACGTCAAAAAAATGATACAATACTTTTTAAAGAAATTATTCAAAATAATCTCATATTCAAACACAAGTATATACCCATTTCAGTCTTACTTGGGCCATTGGAAATTAATTCTAGTCTTCTCATTACTCATTAGTCTTCCTTCCACATTCTGGGGACCATTTGGAAAATGGGAGAGATCGGAGCAGGCTGTTCTTCGGGTCAGGCACGGCTAGGGAACCATCCCTTTCCTTGCTTTTTAATATAGGGGTCATGGGTATGACACCACAGGCCTATTTTTAAATGTTTGATATCAATTCTTAGTATTTAAGTGGGATACTTCCACGAGTCGACTAAGAATTAGTGGTATTAGTGGTAATACTCTGAAGAGTTAGAACCGAAATGCAGGCTAATACAAGCATATACTATTTACTGGGCTAGTTGAAATCAAGTCGACTCTAAACATTTTTAATATTCTTTCTTCCATATTCAGGGGGTCCATGTGGAGAATTCGATAGATTGGTGAAGACCGGATAGTGATCTGGTCAAGCATGGCTAGCGGACGATCCCTTTTCTTGTTCTTTAATTCAAGTTTCGGCCTTTAATTAAGGGACAATGTTTTAGATGGGAGAAGATATCATTCACAATGTGTAACCGATATCTAGCCTTGTGATTCTTACTTGCTCCATTTTTTATATGTGAGCAACTCTACTCAGGTTTTTGGAGACTCAAATGATACAGTGGGAGAGGATTTGAATTCAAAATTTCGTATTTATACTTTTTTCTCTGAACCAGCCAATCCATCTATTTCCTCTTGGCCAATTGATATATGTCCCATGAATATTTTCATATTCTCTTTTGATTAAATTTAAGGAATAATTTCAAAAACCTTGCCTGAGATTTCTAACAATTTCAATGAGATCCCTTGAGATTTTAAAAATTACACTTACCTCCTTGTCCATTTAAAATGACAATATTAGTCTTACCATTTTAATAAAACTCCCTTTTGTTGGGTATGCATATAGAAAGAATGATATTTATAATTATTTTTTCTTTTTCTTTTCTCTTCTTATTCCTCTTTCTTTTCATATTTTACAAGTAAAACCACAGAACTATAAACTATAAATATTGCTTCTAGTTGTTATCATTACCAAATGTTGAATTAGTGACCTTTTTTTTGACAACTTTGAATCTGATCTAATTTTTTGTTGATCTTTTTTTCCTTTGCACCAAAAACAACAATGATTTAAAAAGAAACTGTCCAAAACTACAACTAAATTATTGATACCTCTAACATTTCAAAAATCTACAAACTCTAAAACAATTATGATACTACTTTCTTCTCCAACCTTCAGGGAATATGTATCCCTAGTAAAGCACTATGTCCAATAGCCTGTCATAGTGATAAAACTATTGTAATAATTGTTTATTAAATAATAAATATAGGTATTGAAAATTTTATGCTTTTTTTAAATATTTGATGCTATATATTTTACAATTGTTTTGGAAAGCAATATAAACTATATAAACCAAGGACATTTTAGGATGTTCATTTAAATTTTGACCAGTTCTAAGGTTTGATTACCAAATGTATCAAATCAAGGGCGGTAAGTACAATTTTTAATAATTCAAGGTAGCTCAGTGAAATTATTTATAACCTTAGAGGACGTTTATGAAATTATCCCTACTTATAATCAACTTTGAAGTGCTACAATCAACATGGTGGGCAACGAGAATAAACTCCTAACTATGAAAGTACATGACTTGGAATATAATGCCTATTAGACGCATAACAGTCACTACATGCATAATTGAAGCAAAAAAAGCTGAAAGAGTAGGTCTAATTTGTCCAATCATTCAAAGCTTTTGCAACAATTTCATTTTATCCAATTATTCAAAACTTTTGCAGTGTCCCTTGAATCCAATTTTCAACATGTTTGCAATGGTAAAATAATGGTAGCATTGTTTCAATTTCATCAGTTTGCCACAGTGTTTTTTTTTTCACTTTCAATTCTCAAAATTTTGTCTATAAATATTGTTAACGTTTCCTCAATTTCTTACTCTCCCACTCCATCATTTCTTCTACTGTATCATTTGTTTTCTTTAACCTCTTATCTAATTTTTTAAAGTGTTGGGTATTTGTTTAATAATTATCTAATTATTTTTAGAAAATAACAATGTATTATTTTTGAAATACATAGAAATATATACTATTAGTTTTCAAAAATTAATAATATTATTTTTTTAGAAAAAAAAAATTTTAGAATGCAAAAATTTCAACAAAAGTTAATAAATTTGTTTTCCAAAAATAAATAAAATTACTTTTCAAAAAATAGATTTATTTATTTATGAAATATGTGTTGAGAACTATTAAGATAAATACTTGATTTGATTATAGGTCCATGCTATTATACTATGTAGAGTGTAATTTACAGTGAGTGATAATATAATGAAAGAGGGGATAATAAAGTGATGATATAGCATATGAATTGCACTCTTTAACTCTAAAGAGTGCAATCCATTGTAAATGCTTTAGGACACCTTCAAGACTCTTTCTTGTTTTCATATATTTTTTTTCAGGTTAAGCACCTAGATTTATCTTACGCTACTCCTACATTGTGGGAAGGAGAGTGCCCAAGTGAGTTGTGTGAAGGCACAAGAATATACACGTACCATCATTATTACAAGTACATGAATTTAGAAGTTATATGAAAGAACTAGTAAATTCCAAGAGATTCATGAATCTACTAATGAATCTAAAAGGGAATGAATGTATTAATGAAGCTTAGGAAAAATGGATGAAAAACACTTAAATTTAAGGCACAATTTTCAACACAAACATGTTATAATCAATATGTTTGTTCACATTATACTTCTATCTAATTTGAATGTCTAACTTCTCTAGCTATTTCTTCCATAAGAATATTAATTCTATTTAAACGAAGACTTTAAACTAGAAATATTCGTTTGTACATTTTATACATCAAAAAATGGTAGTCATATGTTGTAAAATCTTTTTTGAGTTCACTAGGCTAATGTAGCAAGGTAAATTCCTTATTTTCTCTAAAAGCGAAATATGTTTTCAACTTTCTCTTAATATCTACATTCAAATACTTACAATTGAGTTAATTAACGTACTCAACAATTACTAGTATGAAACAAGATGAAAGTTAATGCTTTATGTCAATAAACGAGTTGAAATATATAAAAATCATGTATCAACTCTTAAGCTTTATTCTAAGCGCAAAGGGTAAAGAGCACATTGATGGATAGAGCACGAGTAAAAATTGCAGTTTTTAGTCCTATGAATGCTTGGTTAGTCTGACTATAGCCTAGTATGTTTGACTTTAGATAATATTTTCTTCCTCTAGAATTGCATACTTCTCATTTAGATCTTCAATTCTTAATTTTTTTTGACATATTTGATCCTGTTTATTTCTAACATTATACTCTTGAAAGGCATCTTGGATGCTGGAGAGTGGACTTGAAGTGCAAATTTCATAAAGATCATAGACCGAATTTAAAAAATTAAAAGGTAAAGGACTAAAGTTAAATTATTTATACCTTAAGGAATCATGTATGGTAAAGATGCAATATGGGGAACTAATAATGAAATTATTTTATCATACGAGGAACCAAGACTGGTTCTTCCTTCATTTTCTTTAATCTGTGCTTTGCCCCATATGTGGTAGACAAATCACATCAAAGTTTTCTGCCTCTAGAGAATTTGAAATGTATCATAATGTGGCTTGTTATATAATGAGAATTGTAGCGTACCAAGTACCCTAGAAGTTTAGTGTATCAAATGCTCTTGAAAGAGTTGTAATATATGAAATAGTTATGTTTGAATTTCTTTTTTTTTTTTTTTTGGAGTTTTTTCTTGAAAAATATATTATAGCAATTTGATGTATGTATCAAAAAAGTAATCGAAAATGTGTCCGCGAAAAACGTGAAAATATTTTCTTAGAAAACTGCAATCCAAACAAAGGTACTAGTTTAGCACCAGGAGACATGATGAGCTTGGTTTCGCGCCAGGGGACATGATCTGCGAATTTTGTTATCCTCCTCTGCTCCGGTGCTCCCGCATTTATGCCCACCTTACCCTTCAAATTCAGGTCAGGGAGAGTTTCTCAGCAGAAGATCCTGAGTCTATTTTCAGTACTTGAGTCTCCTTTTTCTCCAGAAGCAATTGAATCAAGCCTCTCAAAATAATATCAGCCTCATCCTTCTTGATCACTTGAACTTCATCAGAAGACACTTTATTCATCTTTACCAGGTCTTTGATTGCTTCAAGGCTGATTACGTTTGCCTCTCCCTCATTTCCACCTTCTTCCTCAAGCTCAAGGGGAACTGCAGCTTCAGGTGCTTGTTGATTACTTTTATGATTTTCAAATTCGACATTTTTCCTTTTTTCCTCAAGGAACTCAATCAGGCCTTTTAGTGCAGTTTCAGGCTCACCATTCTTCAATAACTGCTCCCCTACCTCTGCAGGAGTCACCTTTGTGACTTTCATCAGCTGCTCAACAACCAAGAAGAGTGGATGATCTGTGATTCCAAGGTAATTGGAAGCAAGCAATTTGAAACCGCACGGGGTGCAATACGACATGTAAATGTGCACATCCATACGACCAGGGCGCAATAAAGCTGGATCTAGCTTATCTTTATGATTAGTTGTAAACACTATGATGCGCTCATCCCCACAGCTCGACCATAGTCCATCAATGAAGTTCAGCAATCCAGACAAGGTAACCTGGAAAGATGGTGAGTTAGAAAAGATTTTGCTGAGTGCTGACAATCTAATTTCTCCATGGCTGTAATAAATATATGCATCTCAGGGAGAGATGACTGCAATTACTGGATTCATAGTGAAAATGGAACCTACACTGTCAAATCAGGCTACAAGGAACTGTGCAAAGGGTTAACTGATCAAGAGGAGAGAAGAGGAGCTGAGGGAGAAACCAGCTCAGCTAAATCTGGCAGGAAAACCTGGAAGGTACTGTGGAAGCTGGACGTCAAGTGCAAGCTAAAACACTTTATTTGGAGGTGTATCAATGGAGCATTACCAGTCAATGGACTAATACCTTGAAGAACTCAGACTGGTGATCCAATCTGCAAAGGATGCGGAGAGCAAGAGGAATCTATTGATTCCATTGCAGAAAAGCTCAAGAGGTATGGAAAATGTCATCAATACAATGGGATGGAGTAGTAGAGCATACAGGGAACTTTTTAGCTTGGTGGAATGCTGTTATGGGAGCAACAAGCAGGATAAATGGCATGGCCCATATAGAGTTGACAGCCAATATACTCTGGCAAATCTGGAAAAATAGAAATGATTGGAATTTTAATGCCAAACAAAGACATCTGATAGGGTATAATTTGTTAGTAAATTTATTATTGATTTCCCCTTCTATCCCTGACAAATATGGTGTTAATTGCTGATATTTACTCATATTTGGTATTTGGAATCAATTTCAGGAGTGAAGCAGAAAATTACAAAAAAGGAGGGACTTGTATAGAAAAATGCAGACTTCTAAGGGCTTCAACCTTTAGGTCCTTGAATTGGTGGGGATCACAAGCTAGTGCAAGGCATTTAGTCATTTGGGCTTTTCAAAGAAAGCAACGTAGAGAGACTTGGAACAACAAGTACTTTGGAGGCTTTGTCCACATGTGCGGGGACCACGGATAAGAAGCATGAGTCATTTGGACTCTAGGAAAAGAAACGTACAAGACTTTGAATTTGGTGTGGGGACCACTAGAGATAGCATTAGACTTCCTTTTGGCTTTAAAAAGGGAGAAACGTACGAGAGGTTTATGAATCAATAGTTTTAGTTTAGGCTTTTAGCATAGTTTTAGTTTTCTTTTCTTAGCTCTTTCGCATGGTTGTTCTCCATTAATGGAGAACTAACCTCCTAATTCTAGTCAAGGGGACAACTGAAGATTTGGTTCAACAATAACTGTGAGATCTAATTTATTTTAATTGTTTTCTTCATTTATTGGTATTTGTATGTTTTCTGCTTTAAATTGTTGTTATAGCTATCGTGTATGATTGAATAGATGCGCAATATTTAATTATTCACGTAGGCTATTTGCTAGTTAGGGGTAATTGAATCCGTAATTGTTTGTTATCTCTATCTCAGTAGCAACTGGCGTAATTGGGTTTATGTCAGGGGAGCATACGATCTAACTTAAACAAACCCTCGTAGCATGTTTGTTAGTTAGGATTGGGCCTTTCTAATTATTAATGCAATCTAGAAATTAAATCCTACGGTCGTACCTAGGGTTGTTTTTGGGTTAGAGAAATAGCTAACGGTCGTACCTTAGCTATCGATAAATTAAGGAAGGGTTGGTTGTTTAGCGCGTGCGAGACAACTATAACCAATCTATTAATAAATGTTGGAATTATCTGTGATTCGATGATCAGTGCATGAACCATTTCTGAAGTGTACCCTTGGCTAGAGTTTTCCTTAATTATTTCTCTTAATCAATTATTTTCTGCAGTTAATTTATTTAGTTAGCATTTAATCCAAAACCCCCCATACTTTGAACTCTAGAAGAAACGAATTATCCCCAGTCCCTGTGGATTCGACCCTACTCACCGCTATATACAAAATCTGTATTTTTCTCGAGTAGGTATTTATTATTGTACAGGTTCGGAACCTGTCAATTTTTGGCGCCGTTGCCGGGGACTGGTGTCAGATTAATTTGTTTCTTTTTGAGTTCACCTTGTTTTCATTTTTAATTTATTTCTCTCTTATTTTTTTTATAGCTTATGGCTTCTAACACTCCGTATTTTGGTGATATAATGGATTTTGTTTCCGGGGAAGGCGATGAGACTAGTTTTTTTGCTAAGTTTGCATATGCAGAGGCAATAAACTCTATAAGAGAAAGAATGGCTGCTGCAACCTGTAAAATTTGTTATGCCAGGGATCATTCGACCGGTATGTGCCCCGAATATCAAGATAATCTGAGTGTCCCACTCAATAATTATGGAGATTTTTCACCCTGGTCTCAAATGTGGTATGACCCTTATTCAAATGGGTATGAGCAAGGATGGTGGGATGATTCCAATTTTAATTATCAACAAAGGCCAATAGATTTTCAACAGCTAGAGTCTCAAGAACCGTCATCCATGTCAGGTATGTCTCTTGAAGAAATAGTTGAATTAATAGCTACTAACACATATCAAATTCAACAGGAGGTATATCAACTTCAACAGGAGACACAAAAGATGAGTGAAGAGATGAAAGAAGGAAGGTGTGAATGGGCATCTAAAATGAGCAAATTGATTTCTCCAGTTTATGAAAAATTGCCCTTACCGACTATTATCGACCATGAGGAAGATGAGAGTGCAATTATGCTGACAAATGACATGGTACTGCAAGGGTCTCAAGAAGAAGAATCTAAAGATGCAGTTGAAAAGAAAGTTGAAGCGCAAGAATTGAGACCCCAACATCAAATGGTTCAAGTGAATGAATCCAGTGAACAATCTCCAAATGCGGTGACATCTCCTCCATTCCTTGATCAATATTTTCCTGACTCTTATTCTTTAATTCCTGTTAGTGAGATTGATTTTATTATACCAGAAAATTTTGAGTTTCATGACAGGAACAAATTAAGGGTCACGATGGCGAAATATCTCAAACCAGTAAGTGCTCGTGATGGAGGAGTGAGTGCAGATTCAAGGTCATCACTTGTTTGTTTGGCGCCATCTACTAGTCCATAGAAGACCGTAGCTCGTGTGCTCAAAAATTACTCTATTTACGAGGGCTATCAGGATTACATAGAAGATGAAGCACTGAAACGAGCTACGCGATTTTATCCTCCATGAATAAACAGGACAATGTCTAGCCAAAGACATTAAAGAAAGGCGCTACTTGAGAGGCAACCCAAGACTATTTGTTTCAGTTTTCATGCATTTTTGAAGTTTTAGTTAGGTGTTGGTGTCAATTAATAGTTTGATGTTTGGTGGCAGGAAATTAGTAGTTAGACGTACCCATGCCAGGTGGTCACGCCTGAGGGAAGGAAATTCTCGTTCAGGATCTGCGGACTCTATAGCAGTTAGACGCGCCCACGCCAGGTGGTCACGCCTGAGGGAAAGAAATTCTCGTTCAGGATCTGCGGACTCTATAGCAGTTGAGCGTGCCCACGCCTTAGCCAGAAGTTCCTTGACTTAAAAAAAAAAAATTTTCAAAAATTCAAAATAAAAACATTTTCCGTTTTACACTTGCAGTTTTGATTCTCACAATTCGGATTTTGAAATTTGAGTGTGCAAAAAAAAAAAAAACTATTTTTTTTCCTTCTTCTTTCTTTCTTTCTTTCTTCCTTTCTTCCCTGCTGCGCTGTTTCCCTTTTCTTTTATTTCTTCTTTCGGCTGCCCTCCATCCGCCGCCACCCACTCCGCATCAACTCCCCATCGCATGCCGCTGCCCATCGCGAGCCACTCGCCTCGCCGTCCGCCGCCATTGGCGCCCTCCAGCAGCACCGCCGCGAGCTCCACCGTACCTCACCCACAGTCTACTCCAGCACCGGCTCTCCTCCAGCTTCGCCCACGACCAGAGCACGCCGCGGACCACCAGCCCTTCACCTGCGTGAGCGCCACCGCCTCAGCTCGCCATAGCCGCGCCGCCGCTAGTGACACGCAACCGTCCGTCGTTGCTGACCGCCGCCCATCACCACCTGTCAAGTCTGACAGGTGGAGGTATTGCCATTTCTCCCCCAATTAGTTTAACTCACTGAACTCTGTGTATGGGCTTCCTGATGGATTAAAGAATGTGATGATTCGGCAGTTTCTGGGGTTCATTTTGGACAGATTTGGGTCTAATTGCTACCATATATGGGGATATTTTCTGATATTTGTTGAATTGTTGGCCGTCTGACCTTCCCTGTGTGTATACCAGTGGTACTGGTTGGGGTGTTTTGTTTACATTCATTGATTTTATGTGGTCGCCTGTCTGTTTGCGAGCTAATAACCTTGTACTTCAGTTGTTGGTCGCATTTTGACCTGTGGTTGCTGATATTGCCAATTGCTTGGCTAAATTGCTAACTTGGTAAATTGTATTGGGTAATTGACTGTCTAGTTCGAGACAGTGGTTCCGGTTTTGGGTCCAACTGTGTCTAATTCATTTCATTGGTGTCAAATTGTGGGTACATTGCTGCAATTGCTGGTTATATTAGGGGGCGCCCGTGACGCTTCTTTTTGCTTATTGATATTGGTTGCATGTTCTGAGCGGTTCTCGTTACTGATTGCTTGTTTTTGGATGGCTACTGTGCTCCTCCTTTGTTTACTGTTTATTGGTTGTGTCTTATCGACTTGCTTGGGGTCTTTGGAGCAGTTGTTGCACTTTGGACGGCCTTAATTCTGAATTTGACTACATGGGGTCCATGAGTACTTATTGATTGCATTTGCTATAAGTGTTGGGGTCTGGTTTAATCTATGGGAGATTGACTTGTGCATTTTGCTCATTGGGATGGCTTTAAAAATTGTTATTGCTTTGAATTTTCGGCTTCCATTATTTGTTGGCAATGGTAGTCTCTTGTTGCTTAGAGTGATATTTAGAGTTCATGGTGAAGCCACGAATGGCACCAGCTCCAGATGTGAGTTGAGAGACTAGAGACTCGGATGACCCACATTGACGTCACCATGCAAGTCTTGATCCACAATTTCCACCTGAACTGCCCCTGTTTTGATGACTTCAGGGAAGTACCGTTGCCCCTCTCCTTCCTTCTATTTTTACATTATCACATTGAGGGCAATGTGTGAATTAGGTGCGGGGGGGTATCACTGTGGTGCTAGTAATTTTGTTTTTAGTTTCTAGAGTTTTTTTGTTTTTTTTGTTCCACCGCACCTCACCCACAGTCTACTCCAGCACCGGCTCTCCTCCAGCTTCGCCCACGACCAGAGCACGCCGCGGACCACCAGCCCTTCACCTGCGTGAGCGCCACCGCCTCAGCTCGCCATAGCCGCGCCGCCGCTAGTGACACGCAACCGTCCGTCGTTGCTGACCGCCGCCCATCACCACCTGTCAAGTCTGACAGGTGGAGGTATTGCCATTTCTCCCCCAATTAGTTTAACTCACTGAACTCTGTGTATGGGCTTCCTGATGGATTAAAGAATGTGATGATTCGGCAGTTTCTGGGGTTCATTTTGGACAGATTTGGGTCTAATTGCTACCATATATGGGGATATTTTCTGATATTTGTTGAATTGTTGGCCGTCTGACCTTCCCTGTGTGTATACCAGTGGTACTGGTTGGGGTGTTTTGTTTACATTCATTGATTTTATGTGGTCGCCTGTCTGTTTGCGAGCTAATAACCTTGTACTTCAGTTGTTGGTCGCATTTTGACCTGTGGTTGCTGATATTGCCAATTGCTTGGCTAAATTGCTAACTTGGTAAATTGTATTGGGTAATTGACTGTCTAGTTCGAGACAGTGGTTCCGGTTTTGGGTCCAATTGTGTCTAATTCATTTCATTGGTGTCAAATTGTGGGTACATTGCTGCAATTGCTAGTTATATTAGGGGGCGCCCGTGACGCTTCTTTTTGCTTATTGATATTGGTTGCATGTTCTAAGCGGTTCTCGTTACTGATTGCTTGTTTTTGGACGGCTACTGTGCTCCTCCTTTGTTTATTGCTTATTGGTTGTGTCTTATCGACTTGCTTGGGGTCTTTGGAGCAGTTGTTGCACTTTGGACGGCCTTAATTCTGAATTTGACTACATGGGGTCCATGAGTACTTATTGATTGCATTTGCTATAAGTGTTGGGGTCTGGTTTAATCTATGGGAGATTGACTTGTGCATTTTGCTCATTGGGATGGCTTTAAAAATTGTTATTGCTTTGAATTTTCGGCTTCCATTATTTGTTGGCAATGGTAGTCTCTTGTTGCTTAGAGTGATATTTAGAGTTCATGGTGAAGCCACGAATGGCACCAGCTCCAGATGCGAGTTGAGAGACTAGAGACTCGGATGACCCACATTGACGTCACCATGCAAGTCTTGATCCACAATTTCCACCTGAACTGCCCCTGTTTTGATGACTTCAGGGAAGTACCGTTGCCCCTCTCCTTCCTTCTACTTTTACATTATCACATTGAGGGCAATGTGTGAATTAGGTGCGGGGGGTATCATTGTGGTGCTAGTAATTTTGTTTTTAGTTTCTAGAGTTTTTTTTGTTTTTCTTTATTTTTTTTTATTTTTGTCCATCTTTCGTTTATTTTCTTTTCTTTTCTTTTTTTCTAGTGGTCAGTCTTCATATGAATACCAAGTTTGATGCTGGATTGTTGTCTCTAATTCTGCTATTGCCAAGTTTATTAATAAAAGGTATCGAGTTGATGTGGTTGAGTTCAGGAACATCTCTTTGGTGAATATCAATAATTGCTTGACTTTTCTAATTTTTAGTTAACTTTTCTAGGCATAGGGAATGATTGTTGGCATTTTTCTTGCGAATTGGTCCAATTATTAATTTTAGTTCTCCATGTTTGGAAATTTGAGGCTGACTGCTGTTATTTTTAGTTATTGTGCTATATGGTTATAAATAAGAGTTGACTGCACTCCGCTAGTGATTACTACTGAGTAGTCGGGAATCTTCACCTAAAGTGTTGATTTTCGCGTCAAAAGGTAGTAGTTGCTATGATTGCGTGGTCCCGTAGCAATTAGAGCTGAGTAACCGGGCTCCTCCATCTATCAAATGTTGGAGTTCGCGTCAAAAAGCTCTAAGGGCTATAGACTAAGTCTTTTGTTATTGGTAAAAAAAAAAAAAAAAAAAGTGAAGTAAAGATTGTGTTAGTATGTGAATAAGTCAGCTTGCCGGTTTGTGATCTTAGTGTCGAGATTTTGGTTAATAGTTGGACCATTTACTGATAAATGTGAGCAACCATTCCTTTTTCTTAGATTAGTTTGCTTTAAATTGGAAAAGTTGGTGGTTGGGAAGCTAATTGGGGGGATGCTTCTTGGATTTTAATTACTAATGCCCTATATATGGTTCTCTCTTGAATATTTTGGTAATTTGGTAGATAGAGCAATGACCATTATCAAATTTTGGTGTCTGTATACTTTCCCCATGCTTGAGGGCAAGCATGATTTAGGTGTGGGGGGAATTGATAGGGTATAATTTGTTAGTAAATTTATTATTTATTTCCTCTTCTATCCCTAACAAATATGGTGTTAATTACTGATATTTACTCATATTTGGTATTTGGAATCAATTTCAGGAGTGAAGCAGAAAATTACCAAAAAGGAGGGACTTGTATGGAAAAATGCAGACTTCTAAGGGCTTCAACCTTTAGGTCCTTGAATTGGTGGGGACCACAAGCTAGTGCAAGGCATTTAGTCATTTGGGCTTTTCAAAGAAAGCAACGTAGAGAGACTTGGAACAACAAGTACTTTGGAGGCTTTGTCCACATGTGCGGGGACCACAGATAAGAAGCATGAGTCATTTGGACTCTAGGAAAAGAAACGTACAAGACTTTGAATTTGGTGTGGGGACCACTAGAGATAGCATTAGACTTCCTTTTGGATTTAAAAAGGGAGAAACGTACGAGAGGTTTATGAATCAATAGTTTTAGTTTAGACTTTTAGCATAGTTTTAATTTTCTTTTCTTAGCTCTTTCGCATGGTTGTTCTCCATTAATGGAGAACTAACCTCCTAATTCTAGTCAAGGGGACAACTGAAGATTTGGTTCAACAATAACTGTGAGATCTAATTTATTTTAATTGTTTTCTTCATTTATTGGTATTTGTATGTTTTCTGCTTTAAATTGTTGTTATAACTATCGTGTATGATTGAATAGATGCGCAATATTTAATTATTCACGTAGGCTATTTGCTAGTTAGGGGTAATTGAATCCGTAATTGTTCGTTATCTCTATCTCAGTAGCAATTGGCGTAATTGGGTTTATGTCAGGGGAGCATACGATCTAGTTTAAACAAACCCTCGTAGCGTGTTTGTTAGATAGGATTGGGCCTTTCTAATTATTAATGCAATCTAGAAATTAAATCCTACGGTCGTACCTAGGGTTGTTTTTGGGTTAGAAAAATAGCTAACGGTCGTACCTTAACTATCGATAAATTAAGGAAGGGTTGGTTGTTTAGCGCGTGCGAGATAACTATAACCAATCTATTAATAAATGTTGGAATTATCTGTGATTCGATGATCAGTGCATGAACCATTTCTGAAGTGTACCCTTGGCTAGAGTTTTCCTTAATTATTTCTCTTAATCAATTATTTTTTGCAGTTAATTTATTTAGTTAGCATTTAATCCAAAACCCCCCATACTTTGAACTCTAGAAGAAACGAATTATCCCCAATCCCTGTGGATTCGACCCTACTCACCGCTATATACAAAATCTGTATTTTTCTCGAGTAGGTATTTATTATTGTATAGGTTCGGCACCTGTCAACATCCAATGAAAGCTGTTCAAAAGGCACAACAGGAATGGCAGGAGCAGGTAACAGTCAGAAGAAAGAATGAGAGAATGAGCTCCGCTGATATCAGTGGAGCCAGGGAAGAGCCAGTAGCAGTAGAAGAGGGGAGTGCAGATATTCAAATCCGAGTAACAACTCAAGTGCAGAAAGATTCAAGCAGAGTTGGGATGGGGATCATTGCAACTAACAGCAAAAAACAGGTGGTAATAGCTTGGGCACTTAATGATAGAACCTCAGGAAGTCAACTACAGGTTACTGCTAAAGCTGTTAAGCTGGCCATCATCAAGGCCAAAAAACAGCAGTGGCAGGAAATTAAAGTACGTATCCCCATCATCCAAGTGCTGAAGGAGATAACATCAAGGAAAACCAGGGACATCAGAATGGCAACATTAATCGATGATATCAACAATCTGAGGTCCTTATTCCAGAAATGCTCCTTTTGTTTGGATAGGATTATAGATCATAGATGTAAATTGATTAATGATTATGCTTTAGACATCTTTCAAGATGAGGAATGGATTAATCCTCAGTGTACTTTGCACTTTTGTATAGCATCACTTGAGCCTTTGCTCATATAAGTGTACATCTTTTGCCCATCAATACAAATTATATCGTCGCTGAAAAAAAAAGTAATAAATATATGCAAGTATCTAGGTCAGAGCCCAAGAGACCGACAAGGAATTCTGTGAATCTCCAGCCCTTGGTACTTAACTAACGAGAAATGGCAACTGGCATTTGGGTACCTGGCTAGGAGTCTAAGACATACCGTTGTAGATGGAACTTGTTTAGACATTCAATGTAATCGCCTTAAACCGTGATTATCACTTTCTGCCAACTTGTATGATAACATATATGCTTGATAAAGTCTTCTGGTATATGGTATTTGCAAAGCACTCTAGTTTGTCTATGTGTCAAGAGTTCATCAAGCAATTTCAGCTCACGCAAAGGAGAGAGTCATGCAATGGGCAAAACTGAAACAATATGTATACCCTCGTAATAAAGCACACTGCAAGATTTAATGCTATGTTACTCCAAAGCAGCACAAGTCACGTTGGAAACTTACCCTGTTTTCTTGACCATATTGGTGAGGGTGCATAGGTGCCCTTGATGCTTTTGGCCGGTTGTTCGTGAGCTCAATCGAGCAATCAATGTCCTCCACGACGAGTATCGACTGATTAGCTGTTGAAATCAGATACCTTCTCAGATCAGAGTTGGTCCTGATATCAGTGAGCTCCAAGTCATAGATATCAAATTTTAAATAATTGGCGATGGCTGCAATCAAACTTGATTTCCCTGTTCCTGGTGGCCCAAACAGCAAATACCCTCTTTTCCATGCCTTCCCAACTTTCCTATAAAGCTCTTTCCTTCGGACAAAGTTCTCAAGATCATTGATAACCATCTTTTTATCATCTGTATCCATCGCCAACGTGTCAAATGTGGCTGGATGGTCAAGATTAACTGATTGCCACGGATTACCCCTATGTCCCATCATCCGATCATTTCCCAACATAAACAATTTCAGTGTCTTCTTTTCAACTTCAACAGCCTTGGATCTTTCCAAAACATAAGGCAAGTACTCACCAATAACCATTTCCTTATGCTTCTTGTGAAAGATTAATTCATAATACCGGTGTTCAGATATCATAGTTGAATTGTAGTCACCAGGCATCGTAACGTATCTCGGTTGAATCTGCTCACGAACCATCCTCCATTTTAGCTGGATGCCGTTAAATCGTTGGGTGAGTTCTTCATTGCTTTCCATGCAAACGTTGATTTTCTTTTCTTTTTGAGGCAACGTGGCTCGAAGCCTTTTGGTGGACGGACTTAGAATGGATCCCAAGTAAACTTCTACAGCCTTGAAGAGTTGATTTTGGCCGAGGCCATCGAATTCATCGATGGCTAAGATGACTTCATTGGAGAATGCTGTGAAAAGCTGGTGAACTTTGGTGAAGAAGAAGTGTCTGAACTCCTGGGGGATGATATCATTGGCGAAGGACCTAATAAGCATGGCTGTGGCAGTTACAGAGGCAGCAGCAGAGATGATTGCTTTAGTTGATGGTATTTGGATGTTTGAAGGCATGGCTGACTGTTGAAAAGTTTATGCCCTTGGGGGAATTGTTTTCAGGAAGTCAGATCAATGGGGTTTGATGTAGCTGAAGAGGGTTCCAGGTACTTCAAAATATAAACAAAGAATCAAGAGGAATGACGCTGAGATTCAGTGGAATTCTTCTTGGAATTTTTTTGTTTCCAATCTGTGAAGCTGGAATGACGAGGAAATTAAGCAGAAATAGAAAAAGTCTCGAATAGTACCATTATTGGACAGTAAAGATCGAAGACTTTTGGTAAGTCTTTATGGAAATTGTATGGGAATTTGGGGAAAGACTGGAGAAAAGGTGACTGATCCCTCAATCAGCAAAGACTTGGTAAAGTCTCCCAAAGTTTTCTTCCCTTTGTAGATGACGTTTCTGAACAGCAACGCTGCCAATTAATGACTCCAAACTTCAATTGAGAGAAAAAAAAGAGAGAACAGCAACCCCTTGATAAATATAATATCCGCCAATAAATGAAAAAATAGAGAAATGAACAGACCGTTTAAGGCAAATAAATTGAAACCATTTTACACATCTTAAAATTTCGATCATCTGGAGCAACAAGAATATAAGCCTTGTGTCTGCTTTGTACCGTCACTCCCATCGTTGACAAGGCTAACCCGATTGACAGATAATTCCGCTTTGTAAGAATCAGAGTTCAGTACCTTCCTGCTAACGTTATTTTCTCCATTCATAAAAGTCTTGGGGTTGTTCTTGATTCATTATTGCAACAGATTATAGATTATGATGTTGAAAAATTAGTTTTTGTGACGTTTTTTATTGCTTATAGATTTGGTAGCTAAAATCTATAATACCCAAATAGTAGTTTTTACTGATACTAATTATTCTTTATAATCAATTTCTATAATCAAATTTTATAAAATCTAAAGCAATCGAAAAAACAAGACCTTAACAGGTATCGACTTCATTGTCACTTGGCTCAACAACAATGAGTGAATCATTATATGTTTTCGTCAAAGAGACGTTTACCAGAAAATGAGCATCTTTTGAAGCAGGTACTCGCTCTTTGATGCACTGCCATAACCATGGGACCTAATCTGCTAAAGAATCTCCACTGCAAAAACAATTGGTATATGATGGCAACATTAACAGAAAAGTTACAATTTCAAAGGAAGTGACTGGCGAAGGGTCTTACTAAACAAAGAGGAATATGAAATTATAATCAGAACATTTTGAAGTTGCAGACATCCTTCTTAAAGGAACTTAAAGTCCCATACTTCATTCTTTGCAAAAATTCTCCAGCTTGAAGAAGTAAAATATGATTCTGAAAATTTAGCAAATCTCGAAGTTGGATATTGATAGAGCCGTTATTTGGCACGTTTTGCATTGTCATCTTGTCCTAATTTTGGCCATTCATGGTGCTAAGAAAGGGGATTTCACTCATATTTAACATTTGTGTGAATTGTAGGTGGTTAGCATTAAAATGATATCGCGGGGAAAAATTTCCAGAAGACTTTTCATTTCAGAGCGTGACCACGCCTTGGAAGGTGGACGAAACCGAAAGACGGACCGTGGTCCATGTGGACCAGGCGCATGGGATCAAAACTCAAAGGGGGAAATGGCTTTTGCAGATTGATTTGCACCAGACGTTTCTTGGCTTTTGGACTCCTTGGAATTGCGGCGGCTATAAAGAGAAAAAGGACAAAGCAAGAAAAAACATCAACTTTTAGGCTTAGCTTTAATTTTCCTCTTCTGCTCCTTGTCAGGCGCTTGCTCCTGTTCTTTTCTTTTGACTTTTGTTCCGCCTGCGGCTAGCGACTAGCGGCTAGCGGCCAGACATTAGAGATTCTCGCGGATTGCATCTGGGCTCCATAGAACGGAGACCCTTTTTACTTTTTGCTTTTGACTCTTCAAAATTCCGCCAGATTACTCTTGCGCTTTTCCAATTCTTCGGCAATCAATTGAATGTATTCAATTAATTTACGCGGGATTGACACGATGAGGAGCGGCTAATTTCCTCCTCTACCCAAAGCGTGACGCAAGGGCGCGGTCCATAATATCTGTGAGATCTAATCGAATCTTTATTATTTTCCCCAATTTATTGCTATTCGTGCATTTTCTGAATTAATTGTTCATGGGTATTTGATTAATTGAATATCAACGGCCGGATATTGGATTTAATTTAATAGCCTACTGCCATGTTAATTAAATAGAATCCGTAATTGTTCATTTAATTGACACCTCGTGGCAACCACCATAATTGGTTTTATGTTGGGGAAACGCAAGATCTAATTTAAATAAACCCTCTTAGCGTGTTTATTGGTTAGGGTTGGGTTCTTCTAGCTTTAATGCAATTGGGTAATTAAATTCCTATGGTCGTACCTAGGGTTGTTATCTGGTTAGGGAAGCAGTCAATGGTCGTACCTTGACTGTCGAATAGGTAAGGAAGAACTGGTTGTCAGAGCTTATTGATAACTATAACTAGTCTAGTGATGAATGGGTGAAATATCTTTGCATCGATGATCATTTAATTGGACCGTGCCTGAGCAGTTGATCCTTTGGGTGGAATCTTATTAATTGCTATTTTTAGGGAATTGTGCTTTGTGAGTTGGTTTTGAATTTAGTTCGCTTTATTTTTATTCTACTTTTATTTTATCTATTTCTCTCCCATTGAAAATCCCCCAATTTTGTTCTACTGATTTGGAAAGAAACAATTTCCTACCTGCTCCCTGTGGAATCGACCCTACTTGCCATTGTACGCAAAATTAGTATTTTTATAGACAAATCCGGTATATCGGATCAAGCAAACTCTTCGAGAACAGGGTGAATCAAGTAACCCATTGCACACCTAGGGTCCCTGCTCCAGTACTTGGATTTGTTCTATAATTATTTAATTGAGGTGGTAATTAGGACTTTTTAGTAATTATTATTGCACAGGTTCGGCACCTGTCAATTTTTGGCGCCGTTGCCGGGGAGTTGGCGTTTGGATTATTTGTTTCTTTTCAAATTCAGTTTTTATTTTATTTTATTTTATTCTTCTTGATACTTTTGCTAGTTTATGCCCCGTTCTTCTCGCACAGGTGAATTGATATACGACGCGGAAGTTGAGAAGGCAGCGCGTAAGCGGAGGCAAGAGACCAAGAGACGAAAACAAGGGCACTTATTTGCTGCAAACGAGTCAGCGGAAGACGAAGTAAGCATGGCCAACAACCAAACATTGAGGGAGCTGGCTGCCCCGGAGCTGACTCACCAGCCCTTATGCATCACATTCCCCACTTTGGCTGAGAATACTGCTTTTGAATTGAAGTCGGGGTTGATTCACCTCCTACCTTCTTTCCATGGTCTCTCTGGTGAAGAACCCCACAAGCACGTCAAGGAGTTCGAGGTAGTTTGCTCTAGTATGAAACCTCCTGGGATCACTGAAGAGCAAATTAGACTGGGAGCCTTCCCGTTTTCTCTCAAAGATGCAGCTAAAGATTGGCTGTACTACCTACCAGCAGGTAGTATTACCACATGGGCGCAGCTGAAAAAGAAATTCTTAGAAAAATTCTTCCCTGCATCCCGGGCTGCGAGTTTGAGGAAGGAAATCTGCGGTATTAAACAATATCCCGGGGAGTCCTTGTATGAATACTGGGACAGGTTTAACA